TTTCTTATGTAAAAACTCAAGTTCGCAAAGATGCATAAATCTTGCTCAGTTATGCAACGGTAAATTCGACTGTGAATATGGTGATGATGAACAATTTTGTATGAAAAGTTACATCTATGGACTGTCCTCCTTAAATGGGAAAGTTTCTTATTCTGAAGTTGAGCAATTTTTCTATAAAGAATTAGTAACCAAAAGAAAATCATTTATTAAACACTTTTCATTAGATGGATTGACGGAATTCAATACGGATAATCAAACAACTAGTATTAGACCATCAGGAATCATTCGACGTCCACAGCAATATGAACTTATGATGAACAGAAATAATCCATGTTCTCGAGGTATTCAATTACGCGTTTGGCTCAATGAACAAAATAATTCAACAACAAATACATGTCTTTGTCCGCCTAGTTATTATGGTGATCATTGTCAAAATCAAAATCAACGTGTCAGTTTAACTATGGCATTTCGAGTAATGTCTGATTCTCGATCAACATTATTTACAATTATAATCTCACTGATCGATGATAGTGAACAAAGAATTATTCATTCATACGAACAATTGAGTTATTTATCGATTAGAGATTGTAAAACTAAATTTAATGTCTATTTAGTTTATTCAAATCGACCAAAATCTCAAACAAGAAATTATTCAATACATGTTGACATTTATGAAAAAATTTCGCTAAATTATCGAGCAAGTTTCTTATATCCAATCGAATTTCCATTTTTACCAGTTCATCGTCTAGCATTTATTGTTACTATTCCAAGTTCAAAAGACTTTATTGAAAGTTGTTCAAATTTAAAATGCATTCATGCCAAATGTGTTATGTATTCGAATAGTCGAGATCATTCTACATATTGTCAATGTAATGCAGGATGGTCTGGTCAATATTGTACTATTCCGTATAATTGCAACTGTTCATCTGACTCAAAATGCATCGGTTTATCTTCTCACAATCGATCTATATGCATCTGCCCAATGAATAGATTTGGCTATCGATGTCTTCTTACTGATCCTATCTGCCAAAGAAATAATCATTCGATGTGTTTGAATGGTGGTACATGTATCCCTACTGATGAATATGCATTGCCACATAAAGATTTTTATTGTATTTGTCCAATAGGTTATATTGGTGAACGATGTGAAATTGCCGAGAAAAAAATTCATATTTTATTTGAAAAGAATATTATTATATCTCAAGTAATATTTATTCATGTCTTAGAAATTATTAAAGAGATGAACCCAAAAAGATCAACTATTTTAAAAACAGTGCCTATTCAACAAGATTCCTTAACAATTTATTGGTCTTTGCCATTTCATCTGATTTTTATTGAATTTAAAAATAAAAATTAT